TATCTCAAAAGATTTGAAATCTGTATAGAATTAGGATATGTGACAACACAAATATATGACTTAAGGCATAGCTAAATTTGTTGCTATAATGTCCAGAAAATAACATAAATAGTAATTTATATTTGACTCCAGTAAGTCTAAATGCATGCTGTAATATTTTTGATAATAACTAAAAGAATAGTAAAATAATATCTACCAAGTTAAATGAAATCATAAAACTAGTTAACTAATTGAAGGGAGGCAAGAAAGGTGAGGAAAAGAAACAGAACAGAGAGACAAATTTAAAGCAAAAATAACAATAGTAGTAATTAAACTAACTGAAACTGACTTAAATGCTCTTTAGTTATCACACTATTTCTATTGTCTCTTTCATAGGCAAGCTTTAAGCAAAAAGGTCCACAAATGTTGTTTACACTTTCCAGTTCACATTAATGAATCATTTCTTTCTCAACTCACTCTATTTAATAGCTTGGGCTCCTCTGGCCAAAGTTTCCAAGGACTTGCATAATGCCAAGCCCAACTGATGCTTCCTAATACTCACTGTAGTATGAGCCTCTCAGTAATACTGGGAACTGATCACCCTCTTTTTGAAACTTCTTTTGGTTTTGGCTCCATGGCACACATTTAACTGAGTTTTGTTATGTCTCTCTGGCCACCTCTCTTCATCACCCTTCCCAATACCTCTGACTCTGTCCACCGCTTTTAAGTAAGAGCTCTCTTCTCAACTCACTTTATATTCTCTCCCTTACCAATCTCACCATCTCATCAATTTCTGTGCCTTTAAATCTCTATATGTGCTATACTATAGTGTGCATAGTATAATACTATACAGTACTATACATTGTATGTACATATATATCTCACCGCTTTTTTCAAATTGAACTATCATAGTCCATACCCTGTAACCTGCTCCTTTTACAGTAAATGATACCTTATTCAACCAGTCACTTTTGCCAGAAACTTCACAGCCATCTTTGATTGCTTCTCTATGTTCCCTTTCTCTACCACATTTAATGTATTGACAAATCCTGTTGATTTTAGCTTTTAACTATGTCTGGAGATCTGTCACTTAGCTTCATCATTCCCACCCTTGTCAAGACCACTGCCTCCTCCTGCCTAGAGTGCTGCATTAGCTCCCCAGCTGGTATCTCCTAACATCCATTTCTCTCTGTTCTGTTTATTCTGCATATAACAGTCAGAATGATCTTTTGAAAATTCCCTTGTCTAAGAATTTTGGCGGCTTTGTATTGTATTTAGAAGAACATTAGAAAAGCCCTGTCATGGGCTCTGGGCCTTGAGTCACCACGTCCTGCCTGCCTCTTGGCCTGACCTCCTGCCTTCCCTGCCCTCCCCTTGTACTCTGGTTTAGCTGCACCAGGCTTTCTAGAGTTCCTCAAATTTGCCAGTTTTTTTCCTAGCATGGGGACTTAATACATGTTTCTTCTGCCTGGAGAATGTTCATCCCGATTGTCTGGATAATTTCTATTTCACTGTCAGGCCTCAGCTAAAATGTTTTATCTTCAAGAAGGAATTCATTACACACTCCCCTTTCTCCTAATTATGCTAGATCCTCCATTTTACTCTTTTTCCTGTTGTCAATGTGTTGCTTCCCAACTCCAAATTCACTCCTCAATGCATGCTCTGCAATAATGAATGAATTCACAGTACTCTTTGATAGTGAGCATGGTGTTAAGTGTTCTCAGTAGAGGGCGCTAGAGGAACACTGCAGGAGGAAGGGTACTCCTGTCAAGGTGGGCTTGCAGTGTGGGTGTGTGGACATGTGAGGGTGTGTGTCTCACACTTGCACCCAGAACACTCTGTCCCTGGAGACCTTGCAGCCCCAGTGTAGCCTGGTGATCGCCTTCCTGTGACCCTCTGCACATGCACATCCTGTGCTCCAGGAGTCCTGACCACCCTGGTCCCCTCTCCCCTAGGTTGTCTCCTGTAGTCCCCCCCACAGTATACTCTCCAGACGGAGCCTTCATGACAGGGACGCATTGCGCCCCAGACCTCCTGCCACACCAGCACCCCCACTCCTGCTACACACCCACGCCCTGGCTCCCAGCTTCAGTGCGCCTGCTCCATTTGTGCTCCAAAGGGTTGCTTCCCATTTGCCTTGTGGCAGCAGGGCCAGCAAACCAGTGAGTGCCTCTGCCATCCTGTGGATTAAACTACATCTCCCAGGGAGATTTGAATCCCCAGCCTTGGGGAGGGGCCTCCTTCTAGGTTTGTCTTTCAGTGAACACTCTCCCTTGGTCCCATTCTGAGTTTTCTTATAGCCTATAGCTATTTTTTAAAAATCAATGTTTAATAATTCTTTACATTAAACTTCACTTAAATCACTGTATGATTGTATCTCTTGGTTTGATCCAGACTGCTACAATTCTCTTCTCCTACCTCATAATTTCACTTACAGTACCAATCACAACTGCATATTTATTTATGAATCCATTTCTTAATATCAGTCTCTTCTGTGAACAATAAGCGCAAACAAGTCAGGCACCATGCCTATTTTCTTGTGTTCTCAGGGCTTACAATACTATCTAGCTCATAAAAAGCACTCAGTAACTATTTGTTGCATGAATGAATACTGTGTGGCTGAGTTCATCTTCTGCTAATTCATTCTGTTATATTCTTATTCTGCCTCCTTATCTCTTCTCAGTCATTGCTATCTATTCTGAAGATCAGACATGATAATGTATTCTGGGATTTGTAACAAGAGATCTGATTTTGGCCCTTTATAAACAAAGCTTTATATTCTACTATCTCCCCATTAAAACCTATTGTGGCAAAGATGGTCATGACAGCAGTCATCAGGATGGGTTTTCCTTCGCTAAGTCCAATCTCACTATCAGGTCCACATTTCTTTTCCAAAGAGGACTAGAAACGGTTAAAAATTTTTATTTTAATTCCAACCACTATGCCACCACATTTCTAATTTTTCACATAAATTCTACCCCACACTCAAATCCCTACAGAGCCTAGTGGGTAATTTAAACAACCATGCTCAGTGCAGGGAAATGAGGAATGGTAGGGATTGTGGCAAATTGGACAGCACATGCTTCACCTGAATGCATTTAATTTAAACATTTATAGCAACATTGTGCAAGCCAAACGTAACATCTGCAGGCAGCACCGGTCCCATGGCTACACCTGGCAAAGCCAGACCTAAATACTGGCTCCAGGAACCATTCTGAATGTCAAGAACCAGTAATCTTAAAATATGGGGTGCTTGGCGTAAGGTTGCTCTCTGTATTTGTCGTGCTGAGGAAGGCCATTAAAGAAAAGCGAGCATCTACTATTGTCACTATTTCACAAAAGGAAACAAAAATCATCACTGAAAAGTAGGAAGGACACAATATCGGGATAAAGAACCATGTCTTATGAAAGGGAAACTGGCAAGCTTACAATGTTGTTTCTGTTTTTGTCTTCTGACTATAGATGGGAATAAAGTTTGCGGTGGGACTTGCCCAGGTTACAAATCAGCTCCATCAGAATTACCTGGAAAGCTTGAAAAAAGAACATGCAGTTCCAGGTCTCCACTCAAGAGGTAAGGGGGAAGGAGGTGGTTTTTGTATGTACTTTGGAAAGCTCTTCAGGGTCTTTTGAAGCATACCTGGGTTGGAAACTTCTGGTCTGTTCCATTGCAATACTCAGAATACAGAGAATGAGGCTGGACTATCATTTCTTATCCTGATTACAGTGAATCCTATTTTCCTGCACTGGAGGGAGACAAAGTTTTTTCAAAGTAGCTGTATTGCCATGAAAGGCAAACACTTCCTGGTCCATGTCACAAATAAGTGATTGGCATTCTAGGAACGGGAGTCTTCTCAATGATTCAATATGCAAAATCATTCCTCATTTTTAAAAAATGTATTGATTTCTTTATTGACTTACACCTTTCCTTGCTCCAGAAAGGAATTAAGGTCATTTAAAAATACATATAAAATACGAAAAAAAAATGCAACTTAAAATTAAGAAATGAGGGCAATGTAAAATAAACGCAGAAAAAAGTAAGGTTGTGGCATGAATAAGGTAAACAACCAAAACTTCTGTTTTTAACACTTATTGAAGTAACACTTAGTAGCATTCTGAGTGAAGCCAGCAGGTAGAAGACAGTAGGAGGCTGTGGGCCCTTTGTTGAACTGGACAAGACCCCATGCTCCCTAGAGGAGGGACTGGCTATGTAGCTCCCACCAACTGCTGCTAGGGAAATGTTCAAGAGAAGTTGGAAACTGGGATTTCTATGTGATATCTCTGAATTTGATAATGTTTGCATCTGATTAAAAAAATGAAACACCATATTGTATAGGGCTAAGGAAATACTTCTGCTGGCCAGACATGGCCCGCTGGCTGGTGGTTTGAACTGTGCACTAACGTCACCTGAAGTGCTTTCCCCAGATCCATAGGCCTGGGCCCCAGCTCGGACGTGCTGAGTGAGAAACATCAGGATGGAAAGGATCTGTGCCTTTTGAAAACATTCCCCAGAAGATTCCAGCCTTCACCTGGAGTCAGAAATCATGACTCAGATGAAGTCTGGGAAATGAAACAAGGCATTTCAGGCAGCTTCTCTGGTGCTGTGCTTCCGAAGCCTTGCCAGCATCCGTCCCTGCACCCTAGGGAGGAAGGAGGGCCCGGGCACTGGGTCCGCAGAGATGTTAGTTGTGCTTTGCCCAAGCCCACCCTGATGTCTCTAGGGTACTAGGTATGCAGTTTGGTTCTTATTTTCTTGGCTTTCACAAGGAAGTTTTCACAGAGGATCTGAAAACAGGAATAAATGAGATAGAAACATGCCAGCCTTGATTTATGCTGCAGCAGAGAAAATAAATTTCAATGCTCTGAACCTCTGAAGCAGGAAAAGTTCTGTAAAAGTCACAGGAGAGAACACTGTTTCCGGAATCTGCAACACGGTACCTTATAATATAGTGCTTTGGTAATGGACTGTTCCCTGGGGTTTCTTGTTCTTACCTACTGCAACCCTCCCTCTCCCTTCAGTTTACCTTCTTATGTCTGTAGTAGCAGAGGCAGCTGTCATGCTTCAGCACAAACCATCTCTTCCTCCAACCCTTCACGAAGCCAGAGTGAGTCCTCTTATGTAGGTAGCCACGGCAGGTGGGCCAAGGGGAGCTAGGACAGCGGCTGATATCTGATCCCACCACCAGAGTCAGTATGTCTGGACCTAAAGGAATGAATTTAGGATAGTTCAGTGGCTGAAAATCTTACAGTCAACTGGAAGGACTGTTGCTTTTCAGAAGGAATGGATAAAAAAGGGCCTATAGTCTTCACAAATGGAGTAAGTGAAATAGAATCCTACGAGTGGAAAGAATTAGAGCATTCCTTGGTAATTCAACCCCTCATGTCGATGAGGAAAATGAAAACTGTGGTGGTCAAGTGACTTCTTTGAGAAACCAGAGCCCCTAAGGGGTTGAATCAGATATGGCACCCAGCTTTCCTGACTTCTAGGGTGGAACTCTTTCTCCTCCACCACACAGCCTTGTTGGGTTTGAGCACAGATGACGGAAATCTGTTCATTCTCCTGTCTACAATAATGCCTAGCTAAACCTTTCATGTATTTTGACTAACCTCCCCAGAAGGAAGGTGAGGCTTGCCTTTTCTATCTCATTGTGTTCCAGATGATTGATCTCCTTGACCTGGGTTAGCTAAAGGCAGGATCTAAACCACTGATAATGATTTTAAACCACGAGTTTATCTAACCATTGATCTAAACCACCAGTATTATCTGATCAAAATCAGTTATAAACCTTTCAACTTGTAAGTAGACAGAAATTCTAGGAGCGCTGGGGCACAACTGTTTTTACCCCTTTTTCTTTCCTATCCAACTCAGAGCTGAAGGTTTGACCCTGAGCTTCCAGGCATCTGTCCTCTCTTTCTTAGAGAGCCTTCCCTGGGGCCTGGATCAGTGGTGCCCCCTTTCCTGTAGGACTGGCATGGTGCATAACTTGGAGGAAATTGTCCCTGTCCCTGATAACACGAGGTCACTGTGTAGCAACTGTGCTTTGAAGCTGCCAGCATGGATGCAAACTTTCATCATATGCCTACCTCTTCATGCCTCCAGAAAACTCTCTGAATGTCACTCAGACAGACAGCAGCCCTGACATGCTTTGAAGACTGCAAATGGGGTATGACTTCATTTACAATTCCTCTGAGAGGGAGGCCACATCCCTGAAGGGGACATTTGGCCTTGACAGCGCTGACTGCATCATGATGTCTGACATTGAGATTACCGATCTGTTTAGAGCTGTCTATGGAAATGGGGGTCAGTGAGGAGACTCCTCTTATATAAATGACAAGCTCCAACCCAGGGGATCATTTCTGGCTGAGCCACATGGCCCCGAAAATAAAGATTTGTCCCAAAAAGGCTGACACAGTCTTAATGTTAGCAGCACGCAAAGCACCTTGATAATTAAATAACTCTGTGTGTCAAGATAATTCTTCATTGCCATGTAAATACATTTTAATTTATTGAACTGCCCTTAAGCTCCTGTCAAAAACACATCCAGAAAAATTAGAAGAAATGCTCCAGATTGACCGGCAAACCACAAATGTCTTTGTCTTTGGACTTGTATCCCCAAAGAACTGCACTCCTGCACTAATGTGCTTAGCTGACACCTCTGCCCATTTATTTATGTCCTGCTACAGTGGGCTGCCCTGTGGGCTCATTTTCCTCTTGCTTACAGAGACTGCATGTGGTTTTCTCTGATACTCATCAGGCTAAGCTTGAGTTTCAGCTGGCCATAAACATAACTTAGTGCACCAAAAAATTCTCTCTGGGGCAAGCATACAGATGGTCCTGCGGCAGCATGGTGTCATCATATTAAGGGAAAGTTTTTCACACCAGGAGTTAAGTCATGATCCTGATGCACAGGGAGTTGTCAAGTTCTAAACAGCTGTTGGGTGATGGTTGTTTTATATTCTCTACGGTCCTATCTGGCCAGGAGGACCTGGGACTGACATTCACAGAGACTTTAGGCTTTTGATATTATCTCCAACTTAGATTATTCATATAGTCACTGTAATTTGTATGTATGTGTTAAAAAGACTACATAGTACAAATAAAAAAATCCTCCTGGTTTTGTTATTATCTATCTATTAATTTTCTGGGGCCCTTAAAATAGGGAAATGTCCTATTTTAGTACTTCTCAAACTGTATGTAGATGCAGATCACCTGGTGGGTTTATTAAATTGTACATCCTCATTCAGTAGGTCTGGTATGACGCCAGAGATTCCACACAGTAACGTGGGGGTGATGTCGGGCCACAGTGTGAGTGACGAGTCCCCAGGCATCTCTCAGCTGCTGAGGGGCAGTGCTCATGGGCACGGGCTAGTCGCCAATGGCCACCCTTCCTCTTTCCCCTGACTATGGTTTAGTTTCCCCTGTATGTTTTTATTTTCAGCCCTAATATTTTGCAACAACAAAATAATAAGCTTTCCCCCTACTTACTTCTTTCTTTAAGTATTTTCCCACCCTGGATAAAGGAAACACATACCATTGGCTTCCTCTACTGACATCCCAGAAATCTTACTTGCTCTTTGGAGGTGAGTGGGAGATGAAAGGGTTAAGATAACCATTCCTTTCATGAGATAAGAAAGTTTGAAAATCCACATCTTTAGTAAATACAGCTCTTTGGTGTTGATGTCCTTAAAAAGAAAAGCTCTTCTTTCCTAGCACTGTGGCCTAGAGTTTTGGAAGTAACGAGTTATGGGTGAGGTTATTTACAGCTACAGGAGAGAGAAAAATGATTTCTTTTTCTAATTCACACTTTCTCCTTGGATCACTGTCTTCTTATTATGCCACCAATCTTAAACTGTGTCAGAGTCGCACCTCTGCTGTCAGACAAACTCCACCAGCCTTGCAGGCACGGAAGAGAAATGTGCAAGACGTGTGCTGTCCCTGGGGGCTGCTCAGCGGGCTGGCACTGGGTTCAGCTGCTGAGGTCCCTCCAGGGGTACTTCTGGGCTTGTGTGTAGCAAAGCCTGCTCTTGGTGAAACAAAGAAGCCCTGTGGACACACAGGACTTCCAGTGGATTAAGTTTCCGTGTTTTCCTTTCCTCTCTTCCTTTTCAGCATTTTTCCTTGACAATTACATCTTCTATTTGAGTCTGCAATAGCCCTCTAAATGCCAAAACCAGAATGTACGAGGGACTTAATTAAATAAAGACTCACATGGAGTTACTGTTATTCCCATTGTAATGCTGAATACTTTCTTAAATCTCCTGTTTTGGTTTTCCCATTGGTAAAATTAAGGTAATTTGTACATGTGTGTGTGTGTGTGTGATTAGTATTTTTGAATAGAATTATTATTTGAATATTTATTATAATATGCTGTATTTTATAACACAGAATATAAGTTACTATACTATCCTATCATTTTCATTGAATAGACTTATTATTTCTAGAGAATTACTGAAAACTTGACCTTGTAATAAATGGTGGCTCCTCTTTCTAATGCTAGTTTAGGGAGATATGACAACACCTGTCTGGAAGCTAACAAAATAGACTTCTGATCTTCTGCCTGTACCCTTCTGGCCACGCCCCCAAGTGGCTGGGCTGTGTGCTGAGTCCGGACTGGCTACGCAGGACTCACCAGGGAGAGCTGATAGAAATCACAAGTGTGTGGGCACTCCCAGGGATTCTGTATTGAAAAGAGTTTCTTGGGTGAGTCTGACATACAGTTAGATTGAAGATTTAATGTTTGCTGAAAAGTGATTTGATGTGTATACATCTAAATTGACAGAGTAGTAATCAGTAATATAACAGGATTTACCGAAGTTTAAAATACAGAGGAAAGAAACTACTGAAATATACAGTGATCAAAAGGTATCGATTAGACTTTCACAAAGTTTATGCAGACACAAAAGGAGAGCAGAACATTTAGATTTTAAACAAACTTCTTAATAGATACTTCATAAATATATATTTCAAGGCCTCTTTTATATATGAATATAACAAAAAGACTCTGTCAGTTATTTAATGATTATTGCTTTCTTTAGACAAGTTACTGACTTCCTCTCCCAGAGAGAATCCTGAAAAGCTTGTTTTAAATATTCTGACCAATTTATAGGCTTGCTAACAAAATCGAATGCAATTACATAAAAAATTTAATTATTCCTATTACTGATTCCCCTTTCTCTTCTCTTTTAGTTTTATGGTCATGTATATTCTTCTCAAAGATTCACTGCCTCTCTAATTATGTTTTGTTTCTTGTTTTTGCCTTTCTTCACCATTAGCGCCTATAAACTTTAGAAAGTAAATGCAACTAAAATTGTGTGTGTGTGGGTCCTCCTTCAGGAGGCAGTCATCTGTTGCTCTTGAACGTGGGTGTAACTGCAGAGCCCGTGGTAAGTCTCAGTTTGTTGCACACAGTTGCCTTTGGAGTGCAACCCCCTTCTGTTTTGTTTTGCTTGATTTTCTCCCTCCATTCCTGATTGTCCTCAAACATTCTCACTCCCCACAATAAGCATTCACAGAACATGTTTGATATAGGATTGTGGATATACTCTTTGGTGTATTTTTACAATTTTACGTAAGTGATATTTTGCTAAGATCTCATTCTATTTCTGACTTTTTTTTAAAACTCAAAACCATATTTTTTAAGGATCTATCCATGGTGCTACAACTTGTATATTGTTTCCAAGTGAGGCACAGAAGTCCAGAGTAGCCCCCATTATTGGTTTCCTTGCCCATTCCTCTGGTGATGGCCACCGAGATGGTTGGGACTACCCTCCGCCACACACAGGGCAGTGCAGGGAACACCCTGTGTATATCCTCTCTGGAGTTTCTTTAGGATTATATGCCCAGAAATGTAATTTGCTAAGACAAAAGATTTATAAGCACTTCACTAGATGTTGCCAGATTGCTCTCAGGTGCCTATAGCCCAACAAGAATGCATGAGGATTCTCATTTCCTTATATCTTTACAAAACTTGGCTAAAATCTGATTTTTACCATTTTCCACTAATCTGGTGTATCTAAATTGTCATCTTGTTAATTTGCATTTCTCTGATCACTAACAAAATTACTCTACAATTTCTGTTGTTGACATTATGCTTTTAACTTGATGTCTTTAATACATCTGAAATCCACCTTTGTATATGGTACAAATTATAAGGCATAACGTATGAAGGTGTAAATCCATCCAATTTGTATTTCACTGTAAAAATTATGTGCTAAAAAAAATTTGTTCTCTCCCCATTTTTTTGTTCTACCTCTATAATATATCAAGTTTTAATAAATATTTAAGTGTGTTTCTGAGCTTTCTAGCCCATCCTACTCTACTGGACTATTCCTGTGACAGTATCACAGTTCACTTATTATTAATATGGTTTGTAATTAATATTAAAAGACTTATTATCTGTTATAAAAAAGTTCCTTTGTCATTGCTTGCCCTATTCATAAATGATGCAACTATTTGTAGACATTTGCTTTGCCTATATTTGAGGATAAGTTTGGCAAGGTGCTTGGTTTTAATGAAATTTCATTGAAAAAAATTTATTGAATTTTTAGATGAATTTTGGGAGAATCAAGATTCTTACAAAGGTTTCCCATCCATAAATATACTATATCCCTGCAATTATTTGTCTTCTTTTATGTACTTTGGCTGAGTTGTAAATATTTTTTCATGAAGTTCTTATGCATTCTTTGTTACATTAATTCTTTCCTACTTTGTAGTTTTGTTGCTGTTGTTAATCATATATTAGTTTCCTTTTTGGTTTTTACTGGTATGGGGAACATTATTGGTTTTTATAAGAAGATCTTGGTTTAGTCAATCTTCCTCTCACTAGTTCTAAGCATTGGTCTATTAATTTTGCTATGATCATATAATCTTCAAATAATAATGGTTTTGTCTCTTTCCTTCCAGACCATATAACTTTATTTCTCTTTCCTGTATTATTAGATAAGTCAGGACCTTTGATATTAGGATAAGCAGATGTTAAAATTATAAAATAATTATTCTTAATCTCAAGAGAAATGTTATTAAATGCAAAGTTTATTAAATGTTTTGTTGATGCTGTGTATACACTTTTATATACTTTTCTCTTTTCATGGTTAGGCTTTTGGTAGATAGCATTTACTGAGTTATAAGAAGAACCTTCTTTCCCACAACTTAGGGAATTTTAAAAATATGTGTATCTATTGAACTTTATTATATGAGTTTTTGTTCTATTGGGATAGTCATGTCATTTTTTCTTAATTAATTAATGCAATGAAATGTGTTAAAATATTTTCTCATAGGCCATTCTTATTTAGGGATAAATCCTACTTGATCATGATGCATTAAGTGCAATTTTAATAAACAGTTTGTTTCAGGTATCTACTATTTTTTCTTAGGATTTGTGCATCTATACACTCATAAGTTAAATGAATATATTAGTTTTCATACTATACTTATTTGGTTCTGGAATCAAGGATATAGTAGCTTCATAAAGTGAGCTGAGAAGTATTCGCTCTCTCATTTTCTGGATAAACTCTACAGAAGAGATTATTTCTTCTTTGAAAGCTGGATAAACTTCATCTATAAAAATTACTAATATCCTGGACTTCTGAATGGGGGATGGAGTGGGGATAGAGATGGGGGAGAGGTGAGGTGATCTCTTTGTTTACTTTATAAATATTGTAATTATAGTCTGTATACCTTTTCCATTTATATTTGCACTAATTTTGGCACTTTAAATGCTTTTGAAAAATGTTACTATTTATCTAGTTTTCAAATTTATTGTTATATAGGTTTTCAAAGTAGTATTTTGTCATTTTTAAAGCTATGGTTTTCCCTTTTTATTATGTCCTTTTTTAATTCTTCATTTTGTTTATTTGCTTTTTTATTTTTATTATTTCTCAATTAAAAGCTGTATTATAATCAATTAATCTTAAAGATGTGCAAGAGGTTAAACCTGAGGAAGGAACGATCAACTTCTCCATACAGCTGGGTTCAGAAGCCACCCTGATGTTTCTCATTGACTGTCTGTAACAGGTGCTGCCATTTGCCTGGCATTCCGCGGGGTGGGAGGGGAATTGGCCGTGCGGGAGAGAGAAGCACGGAGCAGCAGTCCCTCAGCGCCCCATGCATGAGGTGCTCAGGTTCAGAATATACAGGTATGGAATGGCCTTGTTTCCCTCAGAGTGTCTTACTGTCTTTACTTTAGCATCTAAGATCTATGATTTACCTTTCTTCTTCTGAAGCACCTCCACTGTTGTGTTTGAGAAGGATTGGCAAAGAGAAGGGGGAAGTTCCCTGAGGGGCTGGGTTCTCCTGGGGGAGGGCGCCATGCTGGCAAACAAGCAGCAGTGGGACCCAGATTGTTAGAGCAGATGAAGCCATCCTGCAAATGACTATCAGGAACACCACAAGTACGGGGTTGAATTTCACTCTTCTCCCAATCTCACTGTTCATCATCTTCAGAAATTTGAAAACCCTCCGTTCAACTTTTAGAGTTGTTTTCTACCTTCCATTAACTCATACAGTGAGATGGAATGGTTCGTAGTATATAAGCTTCTTGGGGAAAAATAAAAGAAGTGTTAACAGGGGAATATCACTAAAATCAGGTTTTGTTTAACTCAAAAACTTGGAAAAATAATTATTTGTGAGAAAGAACCTAAAAACAGCTAAATCCAGAAGGGGTAAAATTCCTTTAACGTATGGGATACTACCAGTTCCTTAGTATAATTGTTACTATGTTATCTCAAGTTCTCATCTGTACTGCATGTAGGATAAATATTTGTGTAAGGCTTATATAAGTAGGTGCTGCACATGCTAACTGACAGTGTCTGTGGATTCCTGGCACACCTAGTACATGACAGGTCCTAGTATTTAAGTCCTTAAGCAGTCAAATATTAAGTCAAATTCTACATCAGAAAGGTCCAGAATAGCTTATCAGGACACCATATTTGTTAGTGATTTTCTTGTCCTGGTCTGCATAAGAGAAGTCTCATGCTGTTGCTAACCCCCAGGCATGATGACATCATGAAAAAGAGCAAATGATACTCAGCAAGTTAGACTCAGGGCACATGTGACCTATACCAAATGCACACATTTTTTATCTCATTTTCTGATAATATACTTCAGGAGCACAGAGGAATGTATGCAGCCTTTGGGAAGCCAGGAAAAGGACAGACACCTCATCAAATAATCCCATGATGGAACACAGCATTTCCCAGCTGTTTATTTTTAGGTCTATGGAGAGAGAAGGATTTGTAAATTGGTGCCAAAGAAAGCAATTGGTTTTGCAGAGAGGAAGTGGTCTTTCCACAGAGTTTAATGTAAGCAGATGAAAGGTAGGGGCATGTGTTGTTATTGCTCTCTTCGTGGTTCCATCCATGTCAAAATTGTTTTAAGGGCAGGCCTCATGTGGCCCTAGGAAAATAAATAGAAACTTTAGATTTGTGATTTCTTTATTTCTTTCTCTCTTTTTTAAAATATTAAAACCTTGAGGCTCTTAACTCTAAAAGTCGATGGAAAGAAAGAAAAGACAAAAGGAGGAAGGAGGGAAGGAAGGAAGGAGGGAAGGAAGGGGGGAAGGAAGGGAGGGAGGGATGAAGGGAGAGAAACAGTGAATTCTTATAATGAGAATATTATTACAATATTTTTCATAGCAAGGAGTTTAAGGAAATATTTTGGTAATAAATGGGGCACATTTTGCTTACGGCCATTTTCTGGCTTCACTTTTGTGGCTGGCCATTGATACAGAAGGAACTCTAGCCAGAAGTGAGATTTAATTCCTGTGAAAAACCATGTTGATGACAGGGAAGGCATGTTAAGGGCGTTTCAGGAGAGAAGTGCAGTCATGGCCACTCTGCAGCTGCTTGGTGCTCACGTTCAGACTCCCTGGTGTACCGCAGCTCTCTGCTTCAGGTTAACTCGACCCTGCAGCTTGCCCACCTACCTTTCCTTGCAAGGTGCACAGCGTCCACATGCTCCGCACTGGTGACCTCGGTGCCGTTGATAGCCAGCACCCTATCTCCAATCTGAAGCCCGGCTTCCTCTGCTGCACTGTCTGTAAGCAGATAGACAACAAGGGGCTCATTGAGGAGGGGTCTCAAATTGAGTGCCCTGCTGTTTGTCCTCTTCTTAAAAGGCTCTTTCTCTAAAAGGCGTTTCTTTAAAACTCTAGACAATTGCCTATGTCATTAACAAGAAGGAAAATGCTGCTGTCCTCGCAGCCTTTTTCATTTCCAGGACGCGGTTTCTTTGCACATTCAGCCAGGCATCTGTGTGGCCTCTTTGCAATACAATAGTAAGGCTGCCTAGAAACTCAATCTATTCATCCACCAGAAGGTTGAACTGCTAGTTCTCATTCCTTCATTGCTGCTAGGTCTCTTTGTAACCCTGAGAAAATCACTTAACCTCAATATCTTCATCTATGAAAAAGGGGGTAGGGGCAGAGCTTCTCTGCAGGATTGTTGAAGGAACAAGTAATTGAAATACTTAAGAAGTTGCGGCAAAAACAGATCTCAGAGTAGTCAGAGGAAAAAGAAATAGAAAGCTGCTTTTACTTTCATTATACAGGCTCCTTTCTGAGCCATCTCAGAAAGGAAACCAAAAATAATCTAAGTCTTAGGATTTAGGTTTTGGAAGGTGAGGAGGACCTCTGCAGAGGCTATTTATTTTATTTCCTGGTTTTCTGGCATCTGCACTTACTGTAACATACCTAATATTCCCTAGGGGTAAATAAGGACATAATAAGCCATTTCAATGTTAATTCCTTTTTTAATAAGGTCTTTGTCCAAGATTTTCCCTACAGCAGTTTGAATCTATTTTCTCTGTTTTATTTCAGTTGATACTCATTTCCTCTTTCTTAGATCTTAGTGCTGGGTGAATGTTCATGGACTTGCAGAATATTATGCAGCAATATCAGGTTGTCATTATCTAGAGTGTCATAAACCTCCTCAAAGACTTTTATTCTTAAAGCATGACTCAAATGGTGATGTAACATGACTTTGAATACTTTTAGTAATGACTACAGTTTGTCTAGGTCTGTTTCCTAATAGTAGGAAAGGTCTCTGCTTGGATAAGCAATGGCCAATCAGTGTAGGAAAGCTAAGTGAAGATTTGACATATCCATCCATTTACATAATGTCATCCTTGTAAGGCATTAAAAGCTTCATGGTATGGTTGATCATTTGAATAAATTTCCTCCATAGTCTTAAGGGACTCAAAGGACTTGTTTTTGTCAATGCTTGCTGAATCAAATTCCAAAATGACAATATAGGCACAGAAACAACTTCTTATCAATGTTTGTATTCCCTCTGGGACCAAATATTATGCCTTACATACAGTAGTCTTCCAACAAATACACATTGAATGAAAAATAAATAACCTAAAAATTGTGCCTTCTAGGCACTTAGAATTCCACTGGGGAAGAAAAGACTTGCACAATCAAGAAATAAAGTAACTGCAATATAGTGACTGGCAGGTATAAAGCAGAAAACAAAGACAACAGGTATTGTGGAACTTCAGAAAAGGGAATTCTCATTCCCATTTGGAGTGGTTAAGACATGCTTTCCGGAGGAAGTGGAATTTGGTCTGACCTTGATGAATATAAATAGGTTCTCCATGGAGGGGCATAATGAGGAGAACAGTGTGGCAAAGACTGCTGGGTGCTCACAAACCCAATTTCTCTTCTATCTGGGATCACAGTTGGACAGCTTGTCCCAGACTCTCTAATAGTTGGGTAGGCAATTTAATTGAGTTCTAGTCATTGGAATGTGGATAGAAGTAATGTATGCCACTTCCAGGCCTGGCCTCAAAAAACACCCTTCATACTCTTTTCCTATCTGCCTGCCAGATGCAGATAACTTCAGTGCCCTAGAGGATGATATATTCAAGAAAAAATAAGCCTGGATCTTTAACATTATGTGGGGCAAAGCCATCCTCCTTGAGGGTGAAAACCAAGAACATGCACATTGGACTATTAATGTAACTAAAGAGCTTGTATTGTCTTAAGCCAATCATTTATTTTTGTCACCAAAACTGCCATAACCTCAAAAAATCAACAAGCCAAAGAGAGATTTTCTGATCAAAGCTTCACAAGTGTAGTATGTTAAGACATGCTGAAACCATAACTCAAAAACAGTGACTCACACCAGTCAGAGCAGAGAGGGTGGGCAGGTAGGGGGGCATGGAGGATAAGCTTGGGAAGATAGCCAGTGTGAGAGGGTCCTGAATGTGAAGATGAGGAATCTATACTTGATTCTTCTACAGTAGAAAGCCATTGAAAGTTTGTGAGTAGAAAATAGATATGAAGTAGTTTTCAGATGATTAAATAGGGAGAGATTATGTTAAGCAGTTCAGCGAGGATATTATTATCAGAATTAATACAAGCCTGCAGTATGACTCTGGAAACAGGGACTAGAAATGAATGGAAGGAATAATGTGCCATCATAGGACCTAAAACACTTCACTAACTCATTTGCATATCTGCCTTTCTTCCTTTGTGGGGCATAAGCTCCTCATGGGCAAGTAAAATTCATTTATTTATTTAGGTATTTCCCATGCCTCGTATTATCTCTGGCACATGGTAGGGGCTTTAAAAGTTGGCTGAATATATGTGTTTGTTTTCTGATATATGAGATAAACATGGAAGAGAAAACAGAAAATGTTCATTGTGCTGACAAAAAAATATCTTTGAAACCTAGGATATGAGATGGGCCTGGCCTGAGAAATGGATTCAGAATTTATAACCAAAGGGACAAGTGTAAGGAGAGAAGTACAGGAAACAATGAGAACAAAATCTTGAAGAATAATCACCTTTAGAGAGAGAGAGAGGAAAAGAGTGGCCAAAGAGGAACATAAAGAAGGAGCAGAGACATCCTAGAGAGTAGAGAAGCAAGAGTCTAAAATCAGTTAAGTCAAGAGGAAAATTTCAAAATGGAGAGAATGGTCAACATTTCCATTGTGATACCACAAGAGTAACCATAACAATAACATTTTAAATCCTCATCTATTCAAGAAGTCAAGAACAAGGATGGAGGAAAAGTGATTAAATCTGGAGGTGGGCAAGTAAATGATAACTAAGACATTTTAAGGAGTATGGTGGAAGTGGAAGACAAATGTTTGAGTTATTTGTGCCGATCAACACCATGCTGAGTGATTGACTAGATAAAGTCATAAACTACTATGATCAAAATTTGAGTGTTTGATAACAGGTCTCCCCTCCTTTGCCTTTCAATAATCTCTGACTTAAATGATCTTTCAATATGGAAATGATTTGTGTTTAACACCTTTATTGAGCTATAACTTACATACCATATATTTTACCCATTTAAAGTGTGTAATTAGATGGTTTTTAGTATATTCACAGAGTTATGCAACCATCACAGTCTAATTGTAGAACATTTTTGCTAGCCCAGAAAGACACTCCATAACCAATAACAGTAACTATTTCCCCTCACCTTTCAGTTCTCGGCAACCATTAATGTATTTTCTGTGTCTACAGACTTGAGTATTGAGGATGTTTCATATAAATGAAATCATACGACATACACTTTTTTGTGTTTGGCATCATTCGCTTAGCAAAATATTTTCAAGATTCATCCATGTTGTAGCATGCACTACATTCCTTTGAATTGCAGAGCACATAATTGTAAGGATAAACACATAATTGTAAGGATATAGCACATTTTGTTTATCCATTCCTCAGTGGATGAAGATTTGTGGTGTTTCTACTTTTTGGATAAATTATTATATAAAAAATTGTGAGTTTTTTGTGGACATGTTTTCATTTGTCTTAGGTATATACTTAGGGTGGAATTGGAATTGCTGAGTCAAATAGTAACTATGTTTAACTTTTTGAGGAACAGTCAGAATGTTTTCCAAAGTGGCTATACCATTTTACATTCCCATCAGCACTGTATGAGAGTTCTGAGCTTCACATTCTTGCCAATCTTTGTTATTTCTGACTTTTTGATTGTAGTCAGCCAAGTGTGTAGGGAATGGCATTTCATTGTGGTTTTCCTTTGCATTGCCCTGAGGACTATTGATGTACATTTTTTCATAGGCTTATTGGCTATTAGTTTATCTTCTTTGGAGAAACGTCTACTCAAATTCTTTGCTCATTTTTAAATTGTGTTATTTATTTTTGCATTATTGGGTTATAAGAGTGAAAATAAGTCTTGTTTGCAGAGGAACTATTTCTGGAGTGTAACCCTTCTTGATAGTTCATTTGATTGCTTTTAGCTTTAATTATAGAGGGTATTGACTATGTTCCTCTATTTTGCAGTATGACTTATAAATTTCCTCTTTACTAATTATGGTGGGAGTTTTAAACATTAAGACTTCTTAGAGGAGGGAGATAGTTCAAGATAATGTATCTTATAATAGGCCAAATCATAATATATCTGTAATATACCACACAGCAGACCATTTGCCCAACTTGAGGCTCGTCTTGAGAGCAGATGGAAGTATACATCCTACATTGCACAGGAAGGACTGAGGTTGTAGGAAAATAAGACAATGCTTTTCTAAGTTTGCTTCCCCAACAGAATACTTGCCTGCATAGTTCTGTGTTTATTATAAAGAGTTAAATGCTGAGCTACTCCATCCTTTTAGCATATTTACATATAATGTGGTATCCGAAAACCTTATAATTAAAAAGGAGGCTTGTCCTTTCATTAAAAAAAAAAAAGTGTAACAGTAGCATTTTAAATTCTGGAGCTTCCAGAAAGATGGGCCTGCCTATAATTTCCTCTATGGTTTGCCCATCCCTAAATGTATAGTTTTCTTTTCAAGTTTGCTTGGTATCAAAGTTGGAACATCTGTTTCTTTTGTTTATGCCAACAGATCTCACAAGCATTTAGACTTTCATAGAAAATGTTCATGTAAATGCCAGCTGGGTGTGGGCAATTAGTTATGTAAGCTACAAGCAAGCTCTCTTTCTGTATACTTAAGGATAATCATTTCTATCCCACCTACAGGTCTCCCTGCTTTATCTTTTTATCATCAGTGTGCAATTAAGCCTCTCTAGTGCATCCAGAACAATATTCTGTGGTGTGAATGAGATTCTCAGAAGTGCTGAAAATACGTGTAATTTTCAAGTCCCTCAACCCCTCATTTAGCAGATTTGACTAGACAATGGATTTCAGAGGTTGCTCTTCAGCATTGAGGAATACATTTAAAAAGAAGAGAAGTAGACTCAGCAGTTACATGAATCCCTGCCAGGGCAGCACTTTCGGATGTTGAATAAAACCCTAGGTTAACTATGTATTGTCCCATTTCTGCTACAGTAGAGATGCTTCTACTTTTCCTATTGAAAAACCTCAGGGCCTCTTAAATACAAAGTCATTTGCAATGCAAACATTTTGATGTGTTTCGCATTTGAATGATGAGATACAGTTAACTATCTTGGTTCAACAGTTGGAACAGTATCAGAAATTAAAGAAATCGTAACATTTTATTCAACTACATTTAGTTATTTTATCTAGAAAGACAGACATGAAAAGAATGTCAAGGTTTGGGATATTTTGCAAAAATCTGCTAAACTTATAAAGTAAGACCTGCTTGGTTTTTACAGGATAGTATTTTTCATTTTCCTTATGAATTCTTTTCTTTGTTTAAGACTAATCTTGTGAAGTCAGAGGTAGAAAGGGGAGAGTAGGGCAAAGGGAAAAAGGAGAGAGAAAATGGACAGAGGAGGAGGGAGGAGAGGAGAAAGTGGGGTGGGAACGTGTGAAATATCCGTGAACACATTCCGGTATTTCCTTAAAGCTGGATTTCTTTTAAGACATGGTAAAAAATCAGAAGCCACTTGATGTTTAAAAAGTTGCCTATCTTTGTGCCTATATAGAAAGAATTAACCCCACAATTATATTTTGTTTTTGTTAATTGAAGAGCACTAAGGGGCCAATTAAGTTTGACCCTGGACAAAATCTGCAGTCTTTATCTTTTGTCTCTTAAGTTCTATCACCACATTCTTCTTCTACTCTTTCTCCACATGTTTGGGGTCCACCCTTCCACCCCACGTCCCACCAAAATTGGGGCAAACTTCCTCCCTTCCCCAATCATTAAGGGAATTATTTGCTAAATAGCCTTTGTATATTTGATTAACTGATCAAACTTTAATTGAAATTTGTTCACATCAAAGTAAAAGTACATCCATGCATTCGCATTTTAATATCTGATTATAGAATAGAAGGCTTTTTCCCTGGATGAAAGAATTTTCATCTTAATAACTTGGCCCTTTGCTTTTCTGTAAGTATTTTGGAATCTAATTGAAATTTTTTTTACTGAAAAAAAAAAGCAAAAACAGCTACTCTTTAGAATTTTAATTGAGAACATCTGTAGATTAATTTAAGGAAGACTTGACATCTTTAAATGTTCAGATTTACACATGATATACATGTTTATCCTATTTAATTTCTTTCTGTATGTTATTATTTTCAAAGTAGTATTCACCACACCTTTTTTAGAATCAATTTTTGTTTTGTTCTTTTGCTATCAATTTGCTTTTTTTTTTTCTTCCAAAGGCTTTCTATTCCATACCCCTATACAGGGGACTTAGATCTATACTGCCCAGATTTACCTTCAAATGAACCTGCTTTGAGGATTGTAATTCAGTGAAATCCTTCAACTGCCACGCTTTCTGATCATCTCACCTCACACTGAGGGTACCTTCTCCCCAGGAAACACTGTTTCCAGTCAGTGACCAAATTTGGAGGGGGTACTGGAGCCAAGCTGTTTTGGCCAATGCAGAACTTCTTGAACGGACTCTTTGCTTTGGGCCTTCCCATTAGCCGGTCTCCGAGCTTCTGATAGAAGTTCTGCCTCAGAATTTCTCAGAGCTACACTACAGTTTCACCTTCGTCTTACCCAGTCCTGCTGCCTTCCCTCTCCTTTCACAGGTGCCAGACTGAAGTCTCTTCTGCCCACCTAGGCTATCTTTCTTTTGTCTGTCATAGTGATTTCCTCTAAACTTTTGTACATCTGTTTTCATATTGCTGCTTGTTTCTCAAACTACAGGAACTGAGAAAAGAGGATTCCTTTTATTACTGTAAATAAATTGGCATCTGTTTCTAATTTACTAATATTTTTTTAAGTCATGAGAAGGTGGGAGGACTGGCCTTCACTTGGAAAGTAAGGAAAGGCAGAACAGGTAAAAATCTGAAGGTGTAAAGGTGGGATTTCTAATGAACAGAAAATAGTGAAGAAGACAATCCGTACTTGCAAGCCTTAGGCAAGCTCACCCTGGGGGAGGAGAGAAACTCTAGATTGAATAAGAATTCAGAAATTGTGATTATTACCCTAGGCTGACATGTAGTTCTATGATCGTTAGACTGCACTGGACTTTTAATGACAAAGCAACAGAACTTTTATTGCCTGAGAGAGCCTACAAAAGTTAAGATGGTCCATCCCAGAACTCACACAGAGCAGGGAAGAACGGGTCTGAAAGGTAAGCTTAATAAAGAGTGTTAAGAAAAAGTTATTTTACATAATACACTGAGTCCTGATCACCCATAAACAGTTTGATATTTGGGACAATATCAGTTCAACTATGTAGCTAAGAAAAGCTGATATGATTTTTAACGTTTTGAATATCTTTCTTAACAGTTGAGAATAAACTGGGTCAAATGAAGTCATGAAAGGCAATTCTTTGTTAAAAATAGTATGATTTTTAAAGAACGTGATTACATTGAAGTACAGTTACATCAAGAAGAGATACAATACCGCCTTTGTGTACACTAAATGATGTTTCATTCGTTTGTGTGACTTGTTTATCACTCATTGGTTGCAGAGTGACACTGTGTCAGTATGATTTGAGGCTGAGAGGTTGTAGAGTTTCTGAGGTTCTCTCACATCTTCTCCATCTCTTCATTATATGGTGGCTTGGAGAAGGGAAAGAAGCATTATTTCATCCTCAGGTCTGGGGGTCAGCGGGGCAGGGGGCTTGTTTCCTAGTAACTCAGGACAATGCCCTTCCCCTTGCATTTGGCTTAAGTGAAACAGCTCACAGTGGACCCCAGGGGACACAAAAACATGAGGACATCTGAAGGTTGAAGCCAGTCCCCTCTTTCTTTATAACTCTGATGTGCAGTGGTCAAGGTGGAACTACAGAGATTGTTTTGAATCCAAACGGGAAGCTTGTAACTTCAAGGAAGTCTGAGTCAAGGGGCTGAAAGGAATTGTACCTTTGATGAAATAATTGAGCAAAAGAAATCAAACACCTGTATTATCTCAGAACCTCTAGCTTCTGTGAGTCAATCAGATCTCTTCATTGCTGAAACCACTTTGAGTCAGATTTATTATTAGTTGCAGCAGAGAGTTCTAACTGATATAAGACATAGGGAAAGAATTCTGGTTGTAGAGATAGAAATTCTTAGATCTAAATCCTAGAATTTCCATGATATAACTATATAACCTTAAGCAAATAGTTTAACCAATTTGAGCCTTAAAATGTTGATCCCTTAAATGGAAGTGGTAATATCACTTTTCAAGTTATATTGTATAGGTTACATGAGAACTTTCATAAAATACCCTGCTCATAATAGGTACCCAATGAACATGAGTTTCTTTCATACTTAAAGTAGATTTAATTTCTACTCGGATATTATGAAGTAAATTTCTTTCTTTAGAGACATCAATATGTGTGAAATAGGTATATTGGCTACTTAGTATTTAAATATTCTCCTCAGGTCTACAGGAGACTAAGCCTCTACATTATACAAAATCTGTGTCATTGATCACCTGCCATAAATGATAACCTATTCGAAGTTTCCCTAGGACAGGTCCTAAAACTTAACTTCCTTGCTAGAATGTCTCACATTCTGTCTAACTCAATGTTATTTTCCTCTATTTCCATGCATTGAGAATTTGTTACAAAATTCCATTCTTCTAAGAATAGGTGGTTGTCTGGGCACACTCTTTCCTACCCACGGGGCACACTCACTCCTACCACTGGAGTGCCAGGCTAGGAGACAACCCGCTCGTCCACTGCAGCTGTCACCCACCCTGGCCTTTATCAGAGCTGAGTAGCCATCCACTTCTTTACAGATATGAGAGCAGATTCCCAGTGGAATCACAGAACACATAACAGAGGAACACCTGAATGCTGATAAGCAAAGGACAATGAAATGTGCCCCTGGGTGACAGTGGCACCAGGGCAAAGTAGGAAAGGTTATAATCCTCACAGGCTGTACTTCTTCCTTCTTCTCAGCCTGCAGGTGCCCAGGGTTCCTGCAGTTACTCAAGAAGCATTTTTGGAGTCATCTGCTCTGTTGCCTTTGGGGCACTGCACACAGTATTGAGGATAAAATGAGATAAGATACAGTTTCTGACCTTGGGAAACTCACAGTCCAGGTGTGGGCTATAATGTAATTCAGAAACCTCCTAGTGGCCTGGGCCACCCTCTGTGATGTCCTCATTCTGCCTCCCCTAATGCACCATATTGGGTGTGGATATCTTTACCTTATATTCCTACCATCCTTAGTGTTCTGGCTCCAATTTTTTTTAAAGCATTGATCTCAAATTATTTTCAGGTTTAGATCAGAGAGGAAGGAATCTTACTTTCATTAGGCATCTGCTAATTCCTAATTGCCTTATTAGAAAATAAGGCAATCTAAGAAACTGTACAAGAAATAATTTAGGGGAAATGGAACTTCTCCCCGAAATTAAGTACGAATAAACTGGCAGCTGCCTAGTCATAAGACACTTATCTCCAGAGCTTGAGCCCCATCACTACTGATGCAGGCAGGGCTCTTCTTTGAGGAGGACTTGCCAGCAGGAAAACATGCTCTTTAAAAAAAATTTGATCATGATGTGAGTGCTTGTCAATCATTATGAGTTTTTAACAGAAATCTAGAAAGTTCTATTGCTTTACAGAAATTATGATACTGAAGGCTACTTAGTATATTGTGTGGGGCTTGAGATAGTTATTCTGGTCTGAATTAAAGCTGCTATAGGGACACAACTTACTAGCATCCACTTCAGTTACTACGATGGGTTTGGAGAATTGAATTCGGAATCCCCAGGGATAATCACCAGTTCCTTTGATTAGCCTCACGGTTCGCTCGCGAACTAAAGAGGAAGCAAAGACAGCATTCTTTTGAGTTAATGTTTAAATATGATTATAAAACTAGCTTGGTATTTATTGCTTGTTTATTACATGCCAGGCCTAAGAAAAATGTTCTAAGCACTTTACAAGTATTATCTAATTTAATCTTCACATCAGTTTATTAGGATTACTCTGTTTTTCAAGAAAAGCAAACAAGCACAGAGAGACTGAACTTGCCCGAGTCACATGGTGAGTAAAGGACAGTGCTTACTACCCTGATGAAGCATTAACTCCCAAAAGGCAGCTGAGCCTTACAGGTCTGAGTCACTTGGACCTGTAAACAATGGGATATTTATTACAAGGTTATACCTGGAAATAAGAAAACAGAATCTTCAGCTGTATACTTAGGTCTTAGAGGAACCCAGGAAAGCCTGAACAACTGAGCTCTCAGAAAAAAGAGGGGCAGCAGGGCCTTGCAGACATTTTAACTGTTAGGTTTGTGCTGTATTGAAGGTGAAGAATTCCAGAGACTTAACAGTAAGAATTCATGGCTTTTTACGTTAGTCCAAAGATCTTTAATTAAAATGGCCCATCAATTTCTCAGGCTGCTTTTTGATATATCTTTCCCCTTTTCTCCCGTTACTACCTCCATACCATGTTTTCTGTATGTAGATAGAGATAGATACATATAGGTACATGTGCTGTGTGTGTGTGTGTGTGTGTGTATTTCTTCCTCCTAGCTCCTGCTCACTGACAAGTTTGGCTTATTCATAAAGTTCAGCTCATTCGTGGGCCGTCTTGACTTCTCTCTACCTTAAGACATTTTCACTTCTGTGCTCACTACCAAGAGCATTTTCCCAGTTTGAATTCCTGAAAGAGAGACTCTTACAGGTTGAAACCATCTCTGCTCATAACTCTGGGTTCTTACTCTTCAGAGATGAGGAAAGGGCATGATTCCAAGGCAGAAAACGTCTCTGCAAGAAGGATGATTCCAGTAAAGGAATTTTTTCTTCTACAGTATATTTACATCATGCCTTTTCTTTCTGTAAATATATATACCTCACTTATGCTAGAGTACAAAATTGAAATAAAACATCTAAAGGGCTTATGTGACCTCAGAAGGATCCATTTTATGTGCTAACAAAGTTATGTAATGAAGAATGATAACAGAAGTCTTCAAAATATTGAGTATTTAGTTGGATTTAAGGTCAAGTTCACCAGAGAGAAGTACTAAAACAATACTGAAGGATTTAATCAGTCCTCAGCAATTAGGTTGGCATACTTTAGTGGTTGAATTTTTTCCTATATGTTAATGAATATCTAAAAATTATAAAGAATAAATCATAAAAAAATATAAAGATAAACTTCCTGAGCTCTTGAAGGGAATTATTAGCAATAGACCTATTGTTAGGTTTCTGGGAAGGAGTCAGGTAATTAATTATACAATAAAAATGTTGATCTATTAATAAAGGTAGAGCAATTTAACACCTTAAAATTATAATTTAATAGAATCCCCCTTCATTAAAAAATAGGAATACATTAGAATTTATGGGTATTATATCTTGCTGCTTCTTTTCAACCTTTCTTTTATATTTCTGTATTTCACTTCTCACTTCTCAGATGGATTTAGATCTTCCTCCAGGTTAGAGATTAAAGACATTTCTTCTTTGTAAGGTTGCTTCCTCTTTAGGTCCATATTCAAAGACTGTTAGAGAATGCCTAACATACGCAGAAGATGGATAGAATTAGAAGCAAGCAAGAGGTCAAAGGATCTTGAGAACTTAAAACGATTGACTTAATCATTTTGTTTTGAGTAGGAAAGGACCTTAGTCCAGCTTCCCTTCCATTTCTGGCAGATAGTTAGGGTGGGTGAGTCCCTGATCCTTGGAAAGGTATTATTATTATCATCATATACTTAAATTATCTTTTGCAGGGTTTGTAAGAAAATTTGCCATTATTTTATTAAATTTTCTCCCAGGTAATCTGAGAAATCAATGGTTTTTAAAGTTATGTTTCCTATAAGAAGTGACAAAGATAGTAAAAGGTTAGGTAATCTGTCCAAATGTACTTGAATGTGACCACCTTCTTGGTCAGCTAGGGAACAAAAATATCTGATAAAAACAAAGAAAGCATCCCTGTCTTTAGTGATCTGTTGTAGCCTAATAGCAGTTATTCATTCAGAAACATGTACCGAATATCTATGATGTGCCCAAGGGTTTTCCTATGTACTAGGACTGTAGTGGTGAAGATAGACAAGAGGCTTTTTCTCATGGAGTTTACATGCTAGACACTGGCTGCCAAAATTGGCAAATATTCAAAGAGAGGAAGGATAAACATTCTTCATGTGGATTCCTGAAGGAATGTCTATCTTCTGAAATGCTGGAAGAAAATACAATGTTTTTCTGCTGTTGAAACAGTATAGGAAAAGCATGTCAAGTAGCGGGGCTGGTATTAGTGCACTCCATCCCTAAAATTCCATGCTCTGCTCTATGCTCCTGGGAAGGTCTGTCATTTGTTAATACAATTCCCTTTTGGCAGTCATTTTATATGACTGGACTGCACTTTCTGGCTCTCAATATAATGTAAGGAACAAAACTAGGAAATTCAAGGACACAGTAATGAATATTTTAACAGCCTACAATCAGGACAAAAAGAAAATCAGAAATCCTGTTTGACTTCTGTAGAAATCATTTCTAACATCTCCACTTGTCCAAACTTTGTGCTTCCTCTAGGTCACCCTCTGATACTATCTTTTGCTTTTGACAGATTGATTACCCAACAGACATTTGTTTAATGGAGTACTTTTACTGTGTTGATTCCACTCAAATCATGTTTGTTGTTTTGTTTTCATATTACATGAGACTGTTAAGATAGCTATTGCTTGCAAGGCTGTGGTGGTGTTTTTTTTTTTTTCAGTCAGGCAAATTGAGTGTCAACAATGTGTGTGAAAGTATAAACAATTAAAGTCTTTAAATGGTGAGCTCAAATGTAGCATTCTCCTGTGGAAGAGACAGACAAAATGTTTTGCGACATGCTCCCCTCCCATTCTAAAGACAATTTTCTCATATTTTAAGATTTATAGTCCTGGTTTCCCTTGCCACTGTCTGGTGGATAATCTACGAGTGCCACACAGCTGCTGAAAAGCCACAAATGAATGTTATTGTCTTTCTAGAAGCTGTGGGCACATTTTCAAGTAATTTATCTCCCCAAATAACACTTTCTGGAATAATTTTCTAAGATGTAAAAGTTCAAATGAAGGGTAAATATTTCCACAAATGTAATCTCACTTATACGTTGAAAATACCCTAAAATTTTCTTGTAGTTCTAGTAGGATACCTTTGTAGTGATACAAACCTTTATGTATTTCTCTAATTTATAAAAAAGCTCTTCTAGAAAATAAATGATTGGATTTTTTTAAGTGTAAAATGTGTTTTAACTGAGATATATATTAGTATTGCAGTATCTTTAAAATGCTGTTAGGTTAATAAAGATAGTTTTCAGTTTAAAAATAAATCATCTGTGGATATGAAGAGACAATTCTCCAAAGAATAAATTCAGAGGGCCAACAGACACATAAAAAGATGCTCCACATCACTAATTATCAGGGAAATGCAAATTAAAACCACAGTGAGATATCACCTCACACCAGTAAGGATGGTCAGCATCAAAAAGACTAAGAACAACAAATGCTGGTGAGGATGCAGAGAAAGGGGAACCCTCCTACATTGCTGGGGGGAATGTACATTAGTTCAACCATTGTGGAAAGCAGTATGGAGGTTCCTCAAAAAACTAAAAATATAAATACCATTTGGCCCAGGAATTCCACTCCTAGGAATTTACCCAAAAGAAAGCAAGATCTCAGACTCAAAAAGACATATGCACCCCTATGTTTACTGCAGCACTATTTACAATAGCCAAGATATGGAAGCAACCTAAGTGTCCATCAGTAGATGAATGGATAAAGAAGAGGTGGTACATATGCACAGTGGAATACTATTCAGCCATAAGAAAGAAACAAATCCTACCATTTGCAACAACATGGATGGAGCTGGAGGATATTATGCTCAGTGAAATAAGCCAGGTGGAAAAAGAGAAGTGCCAAATGATTTCTCTCATTTGTGGAGTATAACGAAGCAAAACTGAAGGAACAAAATAGCAGCAGACTCACAGACTCCAAGAAGAGGCTAGTGGTTCCCAAAGGGAAGGGTTGTAATAGGGTGGGTCAGGAGGGAGGGAAATGGGGATTGAGGGATATTATGTTTAGTATACATGGTGTGGGGGGTCACGGGGAAAACAGTGTAGCACAGAGAAGGCAAACAGTGAATCTGTGGCATCTTACTACACTGATGGACAGTGACTGCATTGGGGTATGGGTGGGGACTTGATAATATTGATAAATATAGTAACCACATTGGTTTTCATGTGAAACCTTCATAACAGTGTATATCAATAATGCCTTAATAAAAAATTAAAAAAAAATGAACATCTGCCTCTAACCCACCTTTCCTCTCAATCTCCATCTTCTATTGATCTCTCAATATCACAGAGTTAAAAAACATATGCATCTGGTATATGTAACACTTCAAGTCTTAGTAACAGTAAGAAAGAACAAGTAGCACATTCTTCTGTTGAGGTTCAGTCCAATAAATAATATCATGAAACTCACTCATAATGTTTAAACATATTTTTTTTGTTTATTTTTATTGTTATTTTTGTTTTTTAAGTGTGTATTACATAATACACACAACATATATGAATTTTTTGGGCAAAATTAAATATTGTCTCTTTTTTTAACCCATGTGAATGATAGTGAATCAACAAAATAAAAAAAATGTTTGTTTTTTGACAATCATAAGCAGTTGTAGAAATGGTGGTGATACTTGTACTTTTTTACAGGTGTTATATATCAGGTGTCAGTCAAGATACTGTGAAGGAAGAATTGTATTTTATTCATCTTATGTTCTCAGCTGCTTGCCATAGTCAATAAATATTGTCAATTTAGTAAGTATGTTATATAATAGAAATTATTTATAATTTATATAAAATATACCTGAATATAATATACACATATATGTAAATATATAATATTCAGCCAAAATTGTCATAAAAATTAAGAAAAATGAAGGTAGGAGACAGAAAATAGTCAAGATGGTGATAAATAGCTTGTAATTTTCACATATATAATTTTATTTCATTTTATTATAATACTGTAAGATAGGCAGAGAGATAATAACAGTAAATGACTAAGATTATATAGCTGATAAATTACTGAATAGTACTGAAATCCAGACACTTTTATTCATTCGTTAAATAAATATGTATTGATGAAGTAGGCACTGTCTAGGTGCGTAGAATGCATCAGTAAACAAATAGACAAAATGAACAAATGAACAACTAGACCCTAATCCCCAAAATCTTGCTGTTAGTCTGGTGTCCTTTCCTTATACCATCCTATTGCTCAAATAGGAAATATAGACAATTAAAAAAATATATTATTCCTGGATCCTTGTCATCTATTTTAATTTTTAAAAATTCTACTCTGAATTCTTTAAGTTTTAGATTCATAGTCTCATGCTTGCTTTTCAATGAATGGTTAAGTTTAATTCATTAATATTATGATATGAATATAAACACATTTTCTAATTGCATAAAATACAAACCTTATATTGTCTAATACATGTACACAGGAACTCATTTAGATCTACAGATTATTCTCATAAAAATCCTCCAGTGCTCAATTTCTTATTTATAAGAAAAAATTAAGAAAGGCTATATTTTACTCTACATATAAAACAAATGATATCTTACAACAATTAATCTTGTCTGTATAGATGAGATTAAGATAAAACTAAGCACATTTTGATGCCTATACAGGAAATGACAAGTACTTCCATATAGAATCTCTCATATACTCATACCTGACACTTCTCTGTGTATCTTTAGCAACTTCCCCTAGCGCTTGTACCATCATAGGTATGGTGTTTGTTGAATGCATGATTGTATAATTAATTTTAAACATTATTTTTAACTTGAATCTTTGCCTCCTTAAGTTAAACTGTTTATTATTCATCAAGGTTATTTGTTATATCAATAAAACAGAATGTTACAGAAGTTCTACACCTTAAATTTTGCAGCCAAGACTGGACTGAAATAATTTCACATGCTGAAACTTGTGACAGAGGTGTCTTTTTTTCTTTTTTAATCATTAAGTTGTTATTGCGTTAGGGAAATATACATAGTGTTAGTAAACTAAAAATTAATGTCATAAAAAACATCATGTAACTATTAGAATGTTAATGAAGTCGATAAAAACACGGAAAACATTCATATTGTGAAAAGAAGTTATAATTATTCAATAGCTAAATGTAAAAAGCAGGCTGTAAAATCTTATATATCAAACTATATACCTGATAATATCAAAAGATACATTTCACGTGTGTTTAAAAACAGGACTAATGTATAATAAAAAGACAAGGCAGAAACAATAAAATGGTTATATTTCAGTGTTAGAACAGTAAATGATGATTTGTTACTTGTTTATACTCCAGTCAATTTTTAAAAATAGTATTTTTTACTCATATATGAAGAAGACTTGACTCTTGCTACATTAATCTTTACTCCAACTTTGGCATTGCTGCTCTGTGTTTGAATGAGCTCTTAAGACAGTTATTTTAATAGTTTCAGATTTTTTCACAATATTAAGAAATACATTATGTGTGTATATATATATATAGGAATACACATACTACTCTCCAAATACTCAAATACTCCACCCACTGGATAAATCTGCAGACTTGAGATACTTGCCTAGGGCTAGGTTACAGGTTTCCTAAGTCATATTTGTTTTACCATAATTGTAGAGTCCTTACCAGCTACTGGCCGGGGCTTTTTACTAAGACATCTGGGACTGTATTCAGGATTCCCATCATCCCCTTGGAAAATCCATGCTGCTGAATGGAAATTCTCCATGTAGAATCCTCTTCCCTCAAGATTAACTCGAAAGCCAAGATCCACAGAACAGCCATCTTCTGAGGTGACTGAAGAGCAGAAAAGGCAGTAACATGAAGTATGCTTTGGTGAGAAAGAAGGTGCGTGCACACTGATGACTGAGGTGAAAGGCACCAAATGTGTGAGTGCCGAGTCTATACTAAAGGCAGTGTCACACTCGAAAACAAGGAGCTAAGTTTGTTAGACATTCTCTTAGGAAGAACTTATATAGCCCTAAAATATTACTGATAAAACAGGCAATGCTTAAAGGCCTGTAGTTGGGAAGCCAGTATACTAGAGACAGCACTAGAAATCCTTTGTTGAAGAAAAATATGGAAGAAATTGTTGTTTTTGAGACATATATATTAGTATTTTGGTGGTCAAGAGGAAGCCACATAAAACTAAGAATTAGCTTTAGAATCCCTTTCAAAATTCCAAGCACAGGGGAAAAAATCACTATTGTCTCTCTGTGCTTCAAAGAAGGCACTGCAAAAACATACATTCCTAGGAAACTTACTGTTCTTACATGTAGAATAAAGTACGCAGGTAGGCATGTAATGTTTCATCACAGTTTCATTCATAGTAGTTTAGGGTTCTGTGCATTTAGGAGTCTCTTGGATAGTATATAAGGCTGTGCCAGTTGAGGAAATGAGATCGCATTTTTATATTACCATCCAGGTGTTTCTTTGTGGCCCTGTTAGGTAGTTGAAACCTGAATAAAGTGATGTTCTAAGTCTTTCAGTCTTCCAAGGGTGCAGAATTAAGAAACACCATTTCAAAACCAAAACGGAATTCTATGAAAAGTATAAGGGCATTTCTCAACTGTCATGAAGAGCATATAGTTTGAACACAGAATGTTTCTTAACAACGAAACATGTCTTTCAGTTTCTTCTCACATACTACAGTTGCTCCCACGCCTAACTCTTACAAATGATAGGTAAAACCTCTTCCTTTCACCCTCATCCTGTCCAGCAGAGACCAGCTGGACTTCTGCCAAAGTCTGTTATATAAAGCCCCTGGGAAGAATGGTTCTGTTCTCACTGATTTTCTCTGGAGAATCAAGTAATTCCTAATGGTTCTTATCCTTGCCCCTGCATTTCCACCTTTGTTCTCCTGCTACTGGTCTGAAGAGCATAAATGTTAATTGTTGCCTTGACATACAGATAAATGCAACAGGAGGTTTCTAGCTTATATATTTGTTTAACTTGTGTAGAAATGGTCAAGGGTGGTATGGTGATACAGGATGCGACATCACGGCCTCTTGTGGATAGTCAAAAACAGAGCCCAAGTATCTTTAATGCTTTCTTGTAATTTTTATTTTGTACATCAAATGAAATTTAATTAGTCACTTGATGCTAATCCACAGTTTAAATGGTTTCAGGTGCATTCATTCATTTATTACCCATTTACCGAGTTGAATTAATTTAAAATGTCCTTTTGTCAAGAGCAAAGTACACTTTTAGGTATGATGGGGATAGAAAGCTGAGTAAGATATGGGATTCATAATGAAGTAAGAGAGTTCAGAGGAAGGAGAGAGTGATTCTGGCTGGAGGGAAGGGTAGGATTAAAGGAAAAATATAAGTAGACTGGACCTTAAGGATTAGGCAGTATCTATAGGAAGACTGGGTTGTGGGTAAACATGGTATCGACAAGTGGCCTGCAGCGCAAAGTGGGGAAGATAGACCAAGTTGGTTGGATAAATACAATTTTGGTGTGTGAGAAAAAGGGGATGGCATGTAGGTATATTATATAATGATAAAGTTGGACTGTAAGTGATATGAGAATGTTATGGGTTTATTGGAATAAAAGTGCTGTAAACTTTAGAATTAGAATACTTATCTCAGGATATAGGATGTTTTCTTCCATTCCAAAATCCTTTGCAAATTTTTGTATTCATTTTTTTAAAAATAAGTCTGAGTGTGATATTTGACTTTAAATGGTAGGAAAATTAAACCAAAAAATTATAACAATTTATTAACCTGTCTTTCTGAGCTTTAAACCTAAATCAAAGCTGCTTCCTACATAGTACTTGCTAAAATTACAGAAGCCCTAAAAGATTTTAAAGTAGTAAAGTATCTTCCCTCATTTGATTTATATCTTATATCCTTGTTCTTATATTCAGTTATATTTTAATATTTATGAATATAATATACACAGATTCCTGGGCCCACAGAAGTATTTTATTATTATTTTTTTTCCTGAGCAGTAGCTGTCCATGTTGATATGCGATCATGCCCTTATCACGTGAAAGTCTGAGTGTGGGTCTTTAAATTTCAGTGGTCTTTGTTTTTATCAGCATGCATGAGACTGCTAATGCAGCTCCCTTATTTACAAATAGATTTGATTAAGTGGATGAACACTTCTCTGTTCATTCAGTTACCAAGGCAGAGTTAATCAACACACTCTTACATAAATTGAGATATAAAATTTGTGTTAAATTCCAGGGAGGCTGCAAGCTGCACACCTGCTGCAGCTTTGAGATGCTAAATTTCTCCACAACTGCCCTGTGGAAATTTGAGCCAAATAGAAAATCCAAATGAAATGTGTCTTTGTCACCCAAACTTTGTCACCAACATTTGGCTTGCTACATGAGCCCTCCAATAAATGAAACTTTAAAACAGAATGAGCTCTTAAACATGCTTGGTATTACTGAAATTGCATTTGCACTGCTTTGCTCTTGAAAAATTTATCAAAATGATAAAATACTTTCAGGTGTCTGTAGACATTATCGTATCTCTTTCATTCCACCACTGTATTATTTGAGGATAATAAAAAAGTAGTATCTAAAAAAGTGAGACCCTGTTTGGACTTTCCCAGAGAGAGACCAGGATCAAGTATGAATGATCCAACCAGAGGTAGTGAGCATGGGCTCCGGGTCAGACTGTCTGGGCTTGAATCCCAGCTCCACCACTACTTATCACTGAGCGACATCGGGCAAATCGCTTGTGCTCCCCATGACTCAAATTCCTCATTTGGTAAAGTGAAGATGAAAATACAGTACTTCACTCATCTGTTGTTGGCAGAATTACTTAGCTAATATAAAGCTCAGCATAGTAAGCACAATGTAAATGTTAGCTCTTTTTATTAGAAACAGGAGTTCTTTTGCCTGCCTGCCTTTCTCATTCTCCCTCTCTTTCTGTGTCGCTCCTCTAACCACTCTTCTTCCTTCTATGCAAACTAATGTTTGGAAAACATATTTCCATAACAACTTTTATAGTTGAATGAAAAAAAGGGAAATGCTATCAAGTATCTTCAGACAATTAGACCCAAATTCTTGCCACATCTGTTTGTGATACAGGAGCCATTTGAGATTATAAAAATCAGAGTTCCATTTTGCAGGCCATCCTGACTTCAGTTTATAGCCTTCAAGTTATTTACCTGGTATGCCTTAGTCAGCATTCCCTACAGCTTGGATGGATTGATCAACTATGTCCACATACATAAATATGTCATTCCTAATGTCTTTTCCAGTTATTACGTAGGAAGTCAGAGATGAGTGAGATTAACAGACTGAGAAACACCAGCTGTAATGATGCTCGATAAAGCCGTTAGGTTTTAAGTCATGGATTAGTAACATATCCTGACTCTCTAAATGAGATAAAATTTAAACCACATATTAAACAATGCTAGCTCCAGCAGCTCTTAGTGAATTGCAGTCTCTACTGAAAAGTTTCCAGAGAAATACAACATACCTTCTGAGTGTCTGTAGCTTGGATAAACTGAAAAAATAGAATGGCAGACACTTCAATTCCCTCATGTCTAATGTGAAACAAATTGCTAGTATAAGTTTTCATTCAAAACAGAACTCATCCCAAAGAAAACACAATTGCTGTTTTAATTAAAATGCTCATGTTAGTTTGGCTTGAATTTGAATTTGTATAAGTCATACAGCTGATTTCTGTGTTGTGTCAAGTGTGTACTGGCAAATGTTTAACAAGTGACTCTTCAAAAGGGGAAAAAAGTGCCCTGATTTGAAGTGTTTGCCAATTTCCATTGTATAAATATTCCCACTGTGGCCAATTTCAAGCTACCAATCTGATGTTACCTTCAATGTTGGAAAAAAATGTACATTGGCTATGGTGAGCCACTGGTGAGCAGATTCCAGTACACCTAGGGTTTTTTCTTTTTCTCAAGAAATGCAGAGCAGACATGAATGTCTAAGAGTACCAGGAGTGGAGCATTTGTCCATAAAACAAAGGATGAAATAGACCTGGACTGAAAGGGTCCAGGGAGCTGAGAAACACAGTGAACTAGAAGGAACTGGTCTTTCTATGTTAGAAGGAACTGAAAACTAAAGAAAATGGTGCCTTTTTCTATGGCACATGCAGATCATCTGTGGTTAATCAAACAAACTTTCCATTCAATCTAATTTTTCAGTTTGGATCAACCATAAATTGTTTCAGGTAATAAGAGAAACTATTGCTATATGTAATAAATTTTGTTTCTTGTATTTCCTTACTTATAACAAAATTGTTTTTTCCTTGGATTCCTCCTTCTCAGTTTTTTAAGATGGGTAGATTCTGTTTACTGGAGTTTTATCAATATGTAGTGTTGGTAATATTTGATCATTGCTGTAATTTGAAAACAGCACTAGTGTATCATAAGGTTCTGGCATGAAATAGATGATATACTCAGATGAGTTGAGGAGAGTTAAAAACATTTTCACAAAGTGTAGACAGAATTTAAGGAAGTCAGGTATGATAGAGTGGGATTAAGACAGTCTATCTAAGACTAAAGCAGTAAGGGCAGGAAGCAGATACCACTTACCAGTCCCAGAGCCACAAAAAGTAGTGAGATCAGGGCTGCTTTATAGGAAAGTGACTTGAGGGACACAACCAGCCCTTGACACACCACAAGGAAAGGTCTGGGGCAATAATACCAGAACCTCAGTCCCTTCATTCCCTTTAGGCTCCTGCTGATCTTCCCTATTGGTCAAATTCCACAGGAAGCCAGGGGCCAATTAGCCCCTTGATATAGTCCATAGAGGTAAGACTTCAGGGCAAAGAGTAAGGTGGAGTAGGGTAGAAAAGGAAGCAAGAGGGGGGAAAGGAAGTTATCTGCAGACATGGGTTCAAGAGAGTGGAGTAAGCACAAACTCTGTCTCCCATTTTGATAGGAGTGCTGGAAAGCATATATCTGGATAGGTCCTAATTCCTGCAGAAGCATATATCTGGATAGGTCCTAATTCCTGCAGGGTCTTTTACTTTATGGAAACTATAATGAGTTCAATTACACAATGTAGAAGCAGGGAGTACAGCTGAATTTTTTCTGCATAATGTAAGAGAGGCATTTCAAAGGCCAGAGGAAAGTCAGGAAGGAGATTGACGCTGTGTGTGTATGTAGTACAGTGTGTGTTTTAAGATTTAATAGATGTGCTTGAAAGCAAGAAGGGAATTCTCAACTAACTGGGAAATACATGAAATCCAGAATCAACTTGTAAGCTATGGAGTGAAATCACAGCACAGGATGTATGTGAGAAAGTTCTTTTTTCTATTGAAATATATTTGACATATAACATTTATAAACTTAAAAATGTTAATTTAATACATTTATACACTGTAATAGGATTGCCAGTGTCCCAATAATTAGTACCTCTATCATGTTATGTAATTACCCTTTCTTTTAGTGGAATAAGTTCTGTCTCCTAGCAAGTTAGATGATGATAATACAATATTGTCTATATTCACTGTACTATACATTTTATCTCTAGGACTCATATATTCCTTGTAGCAAATTTGTACCCTTAAACTTTAAACAACATCTGTCCTATCCCCCCACACCCATCCTTTGGTAACCACACCATTTTACTCTGTTTTTACGAGGTTGGTTTTTTAGGTTACACATATATGATATCATATAGTACTTGTCTTTCTCTGTCTGACTTTTCTGTGATAAAGTTTTGATGCAGAATGGTGGGAGCAATGCCAAGAGTGAGGACCCATGGGCTAGAGAGGCCCCGGGTGCAACAACAGGGTGGGCAGTTGGAGCTCCAGGGCAGAAACTGCAGGTAGTCTGATGTCTGCACATCCCTCACTTTGAACACCACCACGGGTGAAGTAGCATGACTAGGCTCCCTGCTCTTCCCACTAAGGGAAGGTGGCCTTGCCTGAAATAATCCCTTCTGTTCTTCTGCTAATAGCTTCTTGCCTCACCCTCCTTCCTATAAAACTTCCCATTTTGTACAACTCCTTGGAGCATCTCTCTTCTTGCTGGATGAGATGCTGCCTGATTCATGAACTGCTTAGATTTCAAGTTTACTTAGTTGAATTTTGTTTTTTGATAGAACCATGTGGTTAGTTATTTCAGTTTATGAAGAGAAAAGCAGCCTTAGTAGGCAGGTGTATGTTTTGAAGGAGGTAATTTACCAAGTTGGGATTCCTTTGTGGATGATAAAGGGTTGATTATTCAAAAAGATCTTCTGTATAAAAGCATATAGTCACCGTATTGCCATGTTCAAATAATAGGGTTTGTATTCTGGAGATAAGAGGGAGGAGGCCTGACTGAGTTTCAGTAAGTTGCGGCCTTTGCTGTGGCTCTGGAAAAGAAGGTGACGTGTCTGCTCACCGGATCCTTCGGTGATGCTGCTGGCGAATGAACTGCCCCCTGCTGAGCTGCATCTTTTGCCATCTTTGAATTGCTGCCTCCTCCTGGCCCACTGGTCAGTTGCTTCCTCCTGGGAACCATCACTGACCCTTGTACCTCTTGGAGCCAATTCCTCAGATAACTTGTGGAGGCTATTTATTTCCAAATTCCAATCTAGATTAAATCACATTAAGTATGAGAGTGAGACACATTTCAAGATAGAATATTCCAGTCTTTGAAACAGAATCACTATAGACTAGAACTAGAGTAACTTCATTCAACTCCTTCATGATTCACCTTCTAAACTTGTATTACTTTTACAAAAAGAACTATATAGATTTAAAAATAGATTTAAATAGGAAAGAGGGTGGGGCACCATGTATTGCATCAGGTGCATTCAGTTCAGCAGATTTCCTTGGCACCAGCAGAATGTCTGATACTATATTAGTTACTCTGGAGGAGCGAAGTAGAAGTAAATTGTTAGTTATGTCTCCTGAATTCGCCATAAGAAAACAATACATTATCACCTGAATTATTTAAATTATAATTTAGGATAATGAGTTTATTAGTGAACTTAAGTCCTTTATGTTTTGGTTTCTATGAATCACAACTATACACATTTCACTATACTTTTATTGGTGCATGTGTGCAAAATGAGGAAAAGAGGAAAAAAAGCCAAAATGCATAAAGGCTTTGATAATTTTATATTTGAATAAATAGCAACTTGAAATACTTTATATGTTTCCAAACTGCCACCTCTGTCATCACAAGCTGTGGGACTATGTATTAATTAGAAAAAAAAATTTACAAATAAACTAATTGCAATGCAGTCAAACTGAGAAAATAACTAAAAATGCAAAATAAAAGAAAACCCAAATAGTGGAGCATATAAACCTAAAAGTAATTTGATAAGTTAGAATTGGTTAAGACTTTACTTGCTTTAACTTTTTGAAAAATCCATGCCCTCATGACTGCATTTATTCAGCAAGTAGTCATTGAGTGCCTTCACTACTGGCAAGGGACTGTTCTGGTGCTGTGGATATAGTAATGATCAAAGCAGAAAAAAATCCATGCCCTCATGACTGCATTCATATAACAAATAAACCAGTAAAATAGACAGCATATTAGTGAGTGAGAAGTGCTATGTATAAAAATAATGGAAAAAGGGTAGAGTGTGCCTGGATTGGAATGGAGAGCGCTCAGATGACAATTTTAAAATGAATGAGGAAGCCTCACTGAACATGTATCACAAGAGCAAAAATGAGAGCGAACCGTGGGGACATATCAAGGAAGAGTGGCTCAGGCAGTGGGAACAGCCCAGCAGAGGACCTGGTGTGGGACCCATGTGGCTGAAACAGAATGATCTGGGGAAAAGGAACAAAGTCGGGAGGGGGAGAGTTGTGGGAACAACCTTTGGATGAACCACAGTACGCAGGTCCCAGTAGCTGGATGTGTTCACCAAATGGAACAATTTCAAGGTCTAGTGAAGTGCAATATCAGTTTGGGGAGGATTCCAAATTGAATTATTGATCTTTTAAAGGAAATACGTCTTCCTGGGAGAGGCAGGGGAAGATGAGCCAGCCTGGAAGAGAGATTCACCCAGATGAGCCTGCATCTGCTCTGGGAGACACACATGCTTTTATTGTAGATCTGCCTCTTGCAGACCTAAATAATTATGAATGAAGCAAATGTTGGGGTTAATGCTGTTGATTGTGGTATCTGGAGGCATGTTGACACTGGGAACCAGTGCCTGTGATTGGATCTTTGCTTTAGTGTTCACAGTCGGCAGGTATTCATAGGGCTTTTGTGTCGTTTTTAGGGCTTTTATTTTCTATAGAGTGAATTTCACATTTTATGCCAAAACTTGTGTAGTTGATTGTGCTTTTTGCATTTTATTTCTACTTCTAAATTTTATTTATTTTATTAAAAATTAGGGATAGAACAACAATAAAGAAAAGATAGCTTCTTGAGTAAGTTTCATCATTCCAAATCTCAATTCTGGACGAGCTAGGAATGTTATTGGCAGGGAGGAGATTTTTACTTGCTTGAGATGTAATTTGATATACTATGTGGAATAATACTAACATTAAATATAAAATATTTTGGATGTACTGAGAAAAACAACCAGGGCTTCTATGAAGTGAGCAAAATGATCTAGTGTGGACCCAAGATTGAAAGCAGACATACCGTATTATGTACTTAGGAAAGGGCTTCCCTCTTAGCCCTCTTGAGGTCTGGAGAGCTCCTGGGTTCTGTCAATGATGTGAGCAGGCCTAACCAATGCACAAGGGAGGTCAGGGGTCTGCTTGAGGTCAGAGGCTCCATGGACAATTCCATCAGGGTTAGCTATGGCCGTTCCTGTTTTTTCTCCTTTGCTCTAATTATTATTCCACATGGCCTCCTGAGCCATGTATACCATGCTTCTGCAACACCACAGCAAGGCTTAAAAACACATTTAATCACAAACATATTCTTCCTATACTTCTAAACATGCTTAGCTTGCAAGAATGAAAGAAATGGTGGATTATTTAAGAGTGGCAAAAGGCTAACATTTCCTACAAAATTGATTTGGCAATACATCAGCTTTTTAAAGAGAGATTGATTTTTTTATATTAAACTGTGGTCTTGGTGATTTTGTTATGCACTGTTTATGGATGGAGAGGTGATAATGGGAAAAAGCAGGCTGATATATGCTTGCCCATATTCATCTAACTCTAAAATACTCAATATATCTTCAGCAATAAAGAAAAAATCCCAAGCAATAAAAAAAAAAAGCCCTCACATTAGGACTTTCCAAAGCTCAAACACATAAAAGTAATGAAAGTTAAAGATTCTGGATAGTCCACTGTACCTTTTAAAGCTGTCTGCTTCTGAGGTGAGAGCAATATGTCTACTTGGTGATCGTGAGCTGCTTCTGGGTCAGTTCTATCTCCGCCATCATTTGGCTTTGTTGAGGCAATCCTTTGGCACTCTGTTGGCTCCTGTTTAAAACTGGTTAGTCCAAGGTTTGTGGCATCTTGTTTACCATACTGGTCTGCATCATTGGTCAGTGTTTTATCAATAAGAAACACATTATCTGTAGCACACATTGAACAACTGAATTCACCAGTGTTTGGGAAGTCTGTTTGAAAGCAGAATTCATCACGATTCTCATTTGGTAAGTCTTCAAACTCTCTGTGGCATGCATTCTTTACCACTGACATCATCTGGGATTTGTCATTTTCAATATATCCCAGAGAGCTGGGTGACTCTTTAGGGTTTTTCATTCCTATGGGATGACTGGAATAAACTGAGCCTTCTTTTTCATTTTGAATAATTAATCTTTGCTCTAACTCATCAGTTATTGAGGTCGTGACTGGTGCTTTTGTTCTGCTGGAGGCTGCTGTCTCTGGATGACTTTCCCGGGACTTTGTTTGGCCCCGTTCCACAGTGCTGCGGTTGCTACTGCTGAGTGGGCTGCTGGCAGCCAGGCTGCTGGAGGGCACCGGGCTGAGAGGCACCCACTGAGCACTCTTCGTCGCCAGTAGTTGCTGTGCTTTCATACGAGAGTCACCATGTGGAATGACTTTGTTAAAGTCTCGGTCAGTCATATCAACGTGTTCTTCCTCATAGTCTTTCAAAAATTCAGCACATTGATTAAAGAAAAGTGTATCCCCAGGGGTTTCTTTAGGTTCTGAATGTGCTGTGGCCCAGTGGGATGGGCTGAATGGGGTGGAAGACTTTGGAGCATTCTGGCTGGAAGGGAAAGATAAAGAATGTGAGTTCTCACAGCCATCTGCAGGTGGAATTTTGCTGCCTTTGCAATAAGTGTTGGCTGCCTTTTCTTCAACGAGCTGCATGCTCAGAGAAGACGAAGGACAGAAGTCAGAGCCTTTGCCATCTTGAACTGGGAAGATGTCAGTAATGGTGCTTGGCAAGTAATTTATTCCTTCGGGGCTTCGTCGTATATCTGATTCTGATGTGATATTTTCTACTGTATCAAAGATGATTTTTCTCTCTCTATCCACATCCTTGGCATCCTCAAAAGGGATTTTACTTACATATGTATCACTTAAACTTGTGGTCTTTAGGGTATCATGTGAAATAAGAACATTTCTAAGAAGAATCTCAGTCTCACAGAAGTGTTTCTTTTCGGGGGTGTTCTGACTAATTTTAAACTTCCTCTGAGAGATGGCGGATTCCACCTTATTGTTATCTAAGGCTGAAGATAGTGTGTGAGGCTTATTCTTCTCCCTCTCAGGAGTTGAGCATAGAGAAATCACAACTTTATCAAAATTCTTCTTCACGGCATGCCAACAATCTGAGCTCTGATGCTTGTTTTCAAACTGCCACTTTTCTGGGGGCCTCGTATCAGAGTGTGCAGATGACTTGGAGCATGCTTTAGTACTGTGACTGGTGGAAATGTTTCTGTGTTTAGCTATTTTCCTCCTTATTTTAGGATAAGTTATATTAATTAAAATATTCTGTCTCTTACTCATGTATTTAACTTTAATTCCTTTCCCTACAATACTTACTTTGAGTGAAGGGCTCTCAGTTCTGGCAATTTCTCCTTCAGATTTGGATGGTGCCTCAAGTTTTAGTTCTTCTATCAGTATATTCTTAGATGTAGAGGAGCCGCTCCTAGAAGTGTAGGTTCTCTGAATGTGTCTGACAGAGTAATGCTGGTGACATTTTGGACATCTCTTTTTTGTTGGAAACTGCATTCCTGTTTCACAGAAAAATCTGTTTTTGATTTCTACTTGGACATTGAAAACTCCACATTTCACTTCTGTAATAATTTTGCCTTTTGCTGATTTAAAGGCTTCTACTGTGTTTGGGAAATCCTTCAGTGTAACTTTTCCTGATAATGACTCTTCACAGTCATTAAACATGACCACTGGTAAGACTTTTTCTAGTTGATGAGAAATGGATGAAGCAGAATCATCACTTTCCTTCTCCCTACTTATTTTGCTATAAGATGGAGGTTGTTTCTTATCTTTAGGGAGTAAAGGGGAATCCTGCTTTCCATTCACAGAAGCAGATGCACGCTTATCTCCATTTTTCTTAGATTTCCCTAATGCCTCAGTCTGATGAAACACAGCCTCTGAGGTATCCTCTTTTACTTCCTTTTCAAGATCTTTTATATTGTTTTGGCATGCCTGATGAGCAGACTGAGGTCCACCTAAAGAAAAATGAAGAAAATTTTCTGTGCTCATTTAGAGAAGATTCAGTATATAGCCTTTGTAAGTATTTTGAGTAACAGTTTTCATTCCTTTCTAGTATGTCAAGGTATTTTCCACAACAATTCTTTTCTAACAAATACCATATTTTGAATAAATTATCTCCGAATGCAGAATATCACTTGTTAGTTTTAGAAAGTAAGAATATAATTAAGTTTTACTCTAAAATGGAGACTTCTGAAATAAGAGAAATGAAAATTTCAGAGAAACTTTAAGCAAATACATTTTAAGACACTGCTTGCTAAAGAGTGAGTTGACATGATTGGGTGTTAGGGCATGGCATTGTAATACTGTAGGCTAAATCAAGCTTGATCTACTTTGAGATGGTACAACAAATAAAGATGTAGGTAAAGAGGATGGAGGGGATCTAAGTATGGCTTTTAAATAGGTCTGATAGTTTCCTTTCTTGGAGTTGGGGCTTTTTATAGGACAGAGAAGATGTCCTAGTGTTGCCAGATCCTCTCATTTTCCAGGGGCCAACTAGAGCCTGGACTTACTAGATTGTAAAAACTCCTAATTTCTCAGGGTTCATTCACATTTTTAAAAACCCTCTATAGATGGAGGCCAGTATAGTTAGGGACCAGTTTTGGCCCAGGATACACCAGCTTGTAATCTTTACTCCACTGCTATATAATGTTAGAATATTTTATTTGAGAAATTTGTGAACCTGAGCATGAGGTACCAGATCTGTGTAAAAACAATGGATGAAACACAAAGATCTCAAATTATATTTTAAACTATGCCTGAAAGAGTATTTGGAAAGAATAAAGAAGAATGGGCAACAAATAAATAATGATGTCATGGAGATCTGTAAATCAAGTATCCATATTTATAGAGAAAGGATATTTTTAATAAGTTGGTAGGTTAAAAATTAGAAAGGATTATTCATAATTATTTTAAATGTTCTTAATTTAAGTATTTAAATATGATTTTATATATTTGCATATTTTTAATATAAAATATAAAGAGCAAATAAACTCCAACCAGAAAATATCCTATCAAAATCTGGCTAGTGGTGGCATAGAAGTATGGGGTGCAGAAAAATAATTTCTGTTTCAGAATCAAATAGAGAATTGTAGGTTTAGGAATTATCACTTTCCAGCTTCAGGAGAGGAAGTCAGAATATTCTGATCTACATATAGGTCCTTAAGCATAGTGAAGAAGTTCCTTAGTTATTCTAACCATGCCTGTTTGTCTCTCTTCTGGTTGGAGGGAATGATTTTTTTCATGGCAAGTACTGAAACAGTTTCCAGAAAGCCTGGTTACAATCTGAGAGCTGTAATGTAGAAGCGGTGGGAGAAAAGATATGGAGAAATCTCTCTCTAAAGTCCACTTACAGTTCAGCATGTACACGATAGTGGTTTATGGACTGACAGACTGCCTTCCAGAACTGTAGATACCAATTTATTCTTAAAATAACACCCTCTTGCCAAGAACAGTTCAGTTTATAGACCTCAATTTTATAATTTTCTAGTTATAGCCTCTATCAATTGACTACACTTTAGTTATTGCAGTAGGAAGACAGAACTGAGGTAGTTACATACTAATGCGTTGATAACAGATTTTAAGAATAGGCATTTTAATAACCTTTGAATAAGCAAATATTTTTATTTAAAATTTTATTATTTGCAATAAGTATCATTAATAATTAATGCAGAAGTGGATACATAATAACAATTGACCAAACTTCTAGGTTGTTTTGTAACATTTATATGCATTTATCTTCCTATTTTTATAGACATTTCTGTAATAAAGAACAAAGATCATAGGCTAGATAGTTCATTTTACATATACTTGTAAAACCAATGAACTGGACTTACATACTGTGGCATTCAAGATTTTCCATTTTTTATAGGCTTTTCTTCTTTTTCTCCTCATTCTGGGGAGCTGAGGGTCTTCAGCTTTCACTGTCCTTTGAAAAAAATAAAATTTGAAATTATTTTCCCCTCAGAATTTAGGTTTGATAAAATTACAGACTAAACTCATTTGCCAACTTGAAGGCATAGTATCTTTTCTGGTATCCCACAGTGTTCTCCTTTGAATACATTTTTCATTATAATTATATTTCCCTTTCCTGCTTAATTCTACTCCAACTATTTAGTGCATTGCATACCATGTGAACATTCAAATATATATTTTTTCATATTTGTAGACATTTAAGATGCAAGTTATAAAATCATATTGGTATAAATGAATTTTTTTCATATTCCAATTTTCTTAGCTTAATAGAAATATCTAATTTTTTTTGTGGTTGACCTATATTTATTATCATCAAACCTGTAGCCCTGCTAAACTAAGTAGGGATGGGGAGATGGTTGGCTTTCACTGCATTATCATCATATACACTGCATTTAAACATTATAAGATTGTAGAATTATTATTTCTAGAACTCTTTGTAGAAGAATCAATTCTTTGTAGAAGATCAAATTAATTCTTTATCTTTATTGTGAAATAAAAGGTTATTTTTGAAGATGTCTTAACTAATAGAAAGTGTAGGGGGAGATATTTAAGGGGAAGGCAGGCTCCTAACTTCCCTGGTATCTCATCAAGTAGGTCCCTGCCTGTGCTCAGACCTCAGCCTGATTCAATTGCTTTACTTTTAGAGGATTAAACTGTCTGCAAAGATGCAAAGAGAAACCGCTTCCCATTGGGGCAGTTTGTTTTGAGTGTATTTAGGCAGCTGTACCTTTGGATCCCTCAGCAGAGAAGCTCAATTTTTATCTGTTTTACATATAAGTCAAATAAAATGGGGCTGCCTTATGGCCAGCGTTGGCATGAATTTACTTAAAATTCTTCACAAGTCATTTCCCTCCTCAAAATCCCCCTACATCACATTATGTGTTGATTTCAAAATCATTTTCCTTGATAAACTCTCAAAGTCTTGCAACTTCCTGAAAATTCCTTTTCCTAAGGCAACCTTTCTTATGTAGAGCAAACAACACTCATTTGGCCTCTTCCAATTATCCTTTTTATTCTCTTCCACAGGAGACACAGTTAAGTCCTATGGCTGACTAAGCAAGACATAATCCTTTCTTAGAAGGCCAGCATGGGCGTTGGGTTGCTGAGAGGATTACAAACATATAATTAGTATCTTTTTTTTTATTCCTGTCTTACACATACTGGATTTTCCAATTTTAAAAATGCTTCAAAAGCAGTTGACTAGGTTATTGATTATTTCTTTATGGTCCCAAGTAGTCTGAAGAGCAAAATGTAACCTGCTGCACTATCTTTACTGGAGAATACTCAGGACTTTGACTCAGAAGATCTGGGCTGTGGTCTGGCTCTGCTGCTTACTCAGCAGGTTGTGTAATCTCTGTGAGGTTGAATTTCATTCGCCTGTAAGATAGAAATGATAACAAATTCCACCTTACAGAGTTATCTTGAAGCAACACAATTGAAGATTATGTTATAAATGGTCCAAGTCAAATGGCATCTATCATTCTTAACTTTGTTTTAGAGTATGTATACATATCCATTAGAATATACACATAGAGTTGAGCAATGCCTGACATTGGGAAAATATCCATCATATCAGACCTGTAAGTGAATGCTTGGATAGAGCTGATCAAAACTATAAGCTTTTTATGAGCTAGAATATATAGAAGAAGGTTTCAAGATCATCTCATCCAAAGTTCTCATTTTACAACAGAAAAAATGATACCAAGAGAGTCTCTCCTTCCTATATCACATCAATAGTGGCAAATTTAGGGTTAGAACCCAGGCTGTAAGGAATAAGGCTAACTTTCTCTTTGAGTGGACACACATGGTATAGAAGGCCTGGGATTGTTTCTGATCATACAGATCAATTTTTAAAATCAGTTTGCACTCAATAAAAGGTAGCCTATAGTATGGGAGAATATATTTATAAATGATACATACAATAAGGTGTTAACATCCAAAATATATAAAGAACTCATATGATTCAACACCAAAAAAGCAAATAACCTGATTTAAAAAAAGGGTGGAGGACCTGAACAGACATTTTTCAAAAAAAGAAATAAAGATGGTGAACAGGCACATGAAAAGATGTTCCACATTGCTAATCATCAGAGAAATACAAATCAAAACCACAATGAGATATCACCTCACACCAGTTAGAATGGCCTCTATCCAAAGACAAGAAATAACAACTGTTGGTGATGATGTGGAGAAGAGGAAACCCTCCTATACTGTTGGTGGAAATGTAAATTGGTACAACTGCTCTGGAAAGCAGTATGAAAGTTCCTCAAAAAGCTTAAAATAGAAATACCATTTGACCCAGTAATTCCACTCCTAAGAATTTATCTGAAGAAAACAAAACCCATGATTTGAAAAAATATATGCACCCCTATGTTTATTGATGCATTATTTATAGTAGCCAAGATATGGAAACAACCAAAGT